TCACGTGCAATCGTCCCTCAGAACAAACTCTAACTAACCATCAATTAATTACGAAATTTCATATCCACGCGCCCTATATTCAAATTTAAATATAGTAAATACATGACTGACAAAAATTAAATAATCTATTATGCATATATATCTCATTTCAGTGTTGTGTTTGCCTTTAAAGACTTGCATGGATAACGTGTGATTTAAAGACCTTGAAGATAATTTTAAGAGATCCACTCAACAAAACATGCATGGGATTTTGAATAAATTTTCATTTTTAGATTGAATCATTATTTAGACAATATGTTGGGTATAAACACAGGTAACTGTGGATGCAACAGTTGAAACATGTCCATGCATAATATGAAAAGTATAAATCTAAACATTACTGTTTTTACATATATGATTTTCAGTTCATATAGTATATTTATTTGAGAATAGTTTTTTCTAAGATGGGAAATTGTCGGCAAGATAAGTAATATTTGGTGAAATGAGGTCGAAACAGTTGTGCTAGTTATTACCATTAACTAAGTTGAAAACGATGCATCACTGGTTTTGACAAAATGCTGAATTAGAACAAACAATAAAATCAAAATAAACTTATCTTCTCTGAATAATAATGTAACGCTGTTTATCTTAATTAATTAGTATTCAAGAAATTGGTTGCCTAGATTGAATTTCGAGTCCCATCAGCCACTAGAGTAATACCATGTCCCACTAAATTCGATTACAAATGTTTTTCTAAAGACTTAAAGTATCTTTTTAATTCTTTTGTTGTTATATTTTTGTTTATGTATAGATCACGGGACTACAAGAAACGAAGAAAAAGTGGACGTGACATTCCTTCTTTTTCTTTGTTTTTGCTCGTATCTCAAACTTTATGCTACATAATACAATTTGGACATTACCATTTACCAATAAGATTCTCCAAATCGAATTTTAAAATAATTCTTAATATAAAATTAAAAGATATGGATAAGATTTCAAGTGATGCCTATTTGCAAAGAATAACTCCATGTCAGTAGTAATCACAAGGAATGTATTTGATCTAATGTATGCGTTATATTTCTATCTTAAGAACGTACGTTAAATATCATAATCTAAGATTCTAGGACTACACACAAATCCAAAATATATCAGAACACACAAAGTATATATATATGGAAAAAAAAAAATTTGGATGGTCCGGTCCATAAATTTCGTTTGAACCGTATAAAACATAAATTTTCAACAAAAGAAGTTTCTAGGAATGGAGTTTTTGGAATCAAACATCATAAACCATCACCATTCACCACTTATAGTGGAAAAAAGTTGAATCCCAAAAATACCGTATTTGTTAAAAGGTCAATTTGGTTAATAACTAAAAAAAAAATTTAAACATAATAATTAACCAAAAATCCTAAAACTAATGGCTAAGATTAGTGCCACATAAGAGAGTTTGTTTAGTAATTATGTTTTTTTCTTTTTTTTTGTTATACTTGCCAATTTCTCTTTGTTAAATTGTATACAAAAAGTTTACATTTTATCTTAAGCTATATATATATAACCAACCCGGCACTAAAAACTTTGATTGAAAAAAGTGATGAAAGAATTATTGTTTGGCAAAATTTCAACAACAGAATTATTAAAAGTTTTACTTAATTAAGCTTTTTTCACATTTCTTTCAAGCAGGTATAGGAAGGAAAATAGGTTAAAACTTTAACAACTTTACTTAGTAAGAAAAAGACCACGACTTTTCCAAAAAAAATGAATACTTTAGAGAAGAAAAAAAAAAAGAAAAGATTCCTCTCGTCTCTTCCTTTGTTCACATCCCTTTCCTCTCTTTCTCCATCTT